TTACCAAGATTTCCGAAGTCACTGAATAAATATCTACTATGCATTAGACATAAATAGATAAATTCAATGAAATCATTTGAAAACAAAACTAAACAAAGCAAAACATGCCTTTGAAAGCATAAAGAAAAAGTTGCAGAAGCCGCATGAAACCATTCATAAATACCTTTTAAACTCATCGTGGTAGAATTCTGACTTGCAGGTTACCATCTCGCCCCCCTGGATGTCCTCACGACTTCTGACTCCCCCAAATACATACAGTTCCATGGCGACTCCACAGGCTACAGCTCCAAACCTGAAAGGCCACATAGGGCATACTAGGTATTAGATTTACAACTCATGACCCGATTCCATAATTCCTCTTACGCTTGTTTTAGCTCTGCGCCATTCAACGTTTCACAAATACAGGGGTCTTCCTTTTTCAGGAAATGGCTTATTAATTTAATGTTACATCAACCAAATGCCAAGTCAAATAAAAGATTAGCTGGAAAGAAGGGAAAAACAAAAGCCAGGTGAAGGGGGCTCTGCACAGTCCTTATCCAAGTTCTCTCACCTTCTCTCTTTCAGTGGACAGATAGCGGTCCACTGCTGGGTCCGTGTGTCATAACATTCCACAGACTCGAAGAGTTTTCCATATGATCCCCCACCCATGGCATAGATTTTCTTTTTCATAGCTGCATAGCAGCCAATCTGAAAGGAGAAAGCAACAGTGGGGGAGGCAACATTTATTATTAAAGTTGGGCGAGTAAATACCAGCTTGGCTAGAGAGCACTGGCAAATATCTGGAAAAGGATCTGACTTCTAATAGTAAGACTATGTATGGTGCCTTCCAATATTACAACAGAGGCTTTTAAAAATGAGAAGAGCAAGGTAATACACACACTGCTAATCCTCAGAAAAGGATTAACTCCATCTAATACTATTCCGCTAAGTGAGTAAATAATCCTAACTCTTAAAGAGGCTTTCCAGGCTCTCTGTCCTCACCACTATTTCAAGAGTCCCAGATGTGGACTCCTTGGGGCAAGACATCATTCAATTCCTGCCCCAAGTAAGTCAGTCGAAAGGGCACAGACGGTGAGAGATCATATTATGAGTAAATCCCGGTACCCACGGTGTGAAATACCTAGGGCGCTGGACAAGGCTTTGGCATGATGATGAAACTCCAACCTCCACCAGGGAAAAGAAATACAGACTAAGCTGTAAACAGCTAACATGAGCCATTTGTTTTCATCCTGCTCTGCAATGGCAGTTCTCTACCTATGGATTAATGTTTCTCCCCAGTCCTGCACAACGATTAAGAAAACAGGTTTGGGAGACCTGGTTCCTTCCTAGGTTAGTGCAATCACACAGCATTTATCAGGCGTGGGCCTGGGACACAGCAGCGCTGCCCAGAGCCCACTGCCAAGGTAAACACTCTCACACACCGTTTCCTAGCTTGGTGTGTGGCTGGTAATAGTGAAGGCAAGCTACCAACAAAGACAGAGTTTTATAATGTTAATTCTTTTAACACTATCAATTGTGTTAAAAGGCATATGTAGGAAATGAAGAAACATAACTTTAAAATCCAATTTGTGAATTAGTTATCACAAGATATCGTTCTCACCTTTCTAACCATGGTTAAAGCGGGTTGTTTTGTCCAGGTTTTAGAATAAATATCATAACATTCCATGGAAATTAGCTCTTTTTCACCGTCTTCTCCTCCTAAAACGTACAGCATCCCATCTATCTCCACGATTCCAAAGTTATGTCTTGCCTGAAAAGACATCAAAGATCTTTGTAGACAAAAGGCCAACTATCAGATTGCAAGCTGATATTCATACATTTAATAAGAGTTACAGATACTCTTACATTCCAGCGTTCCAGCCAAGAGATACCAGGCTCAAAACCATCTCTCTCAAATACTTCTGATTTCCCTAGCAGCTCACTCTTCTATCACAATAGACAGAGAACCCAAGTCCAGGAACTTCCCGGAACAGGGGAACTACACACGTGGTGAATTCACTGGCAGAATCCTTACTTTTTACTCACAACAGCTCATGACAAGAAAGAGAACTATTACTGTGTGGCTCTGTAAAATGATCTTTGTACAGCAGTGGGCAGCAAGTGGTTCCCAGCTGACGTGTGAAGTCAAGTAAGGTCCACGTCAACAGCACTGCCTGTGGCTGGAGAGGTGGGGGTGGGAGGGCGAGAGGCCCGGGCTAAGGCTGCCTGGAGCAACAGAACCTGATGTGTTTCACACTCATCCACTCACAGCACTTCCTGGGTGCCCAGCCCCACTCCAGCACTGAAGGGAGAGCGCTGACCACACAAACAAAATGCGCTGCCATCATCAAAAAGTTTGTGCGAACCGTTGAGAAAGATCTAGTATGTGAGGAGGTTCTATGTGGTATGAAGAGAAAGAAAGCAGGGGAGGGGGCAGGAGAGCTGAGAGGCCGGGGGAGGCCTCGCTGAGAAGGAGCCATATGGACAAACACTGAAGGAAGCAAGCAGCGAGCCACGTGGGTACCTGGCAAAGGTCCCAAAGCAAGTGCACTCCTAGGAGGCTTCAGAAGGGGGAGCGAGGGAAGGCACAGGGAGCAGAGCCGGGAGCGGGGCACGAGCGTACCAGGCAGGGGGGCTTGGTGAGGCTGCTACCTCTTTCCTTATACTCAAACGCAAAGCAAACAAAAGTGCTAAAGGGAAAAAAGAAACATCAGACAAATTACAAAAGCAGTATTTTACCTCGTTCATTGGTGGCAGTGCCGTCCATGTGTTTGCATCTGGGTCATACTTTTCTCCTGAGCTCAGGGTCTGCTTATTTTCGTCTTGGCCCCCAAATACAAACAAAAATCCTTCTGCAAAAAATCAAAGAAGACACGCAAGGAAGTTGAAATGTAAGTTTTCAACACCTATCTCTAGTCAAATACAAATGCCGTAAGGGCAGAGATAGGATGTGGAGATACCTTCTCTGACAACAACGGGTTCGAGATCTTACCAAGCCTGGGTGATAGAGCCAAATCTGTGAGTCACTCTGACCATTTCACTTGCCTCGGGATCTCTGAGTGGATTCCCACTACCCTGCACCTTAAAAGGAAAACTAACACCACCCACCCGGTCAGCAAGTGACTTTGAGTTATCTCAGTTCATCTGTTCTGTTCCCCAGACTCTATTTAAAATAGTCTTCTTAAAGGAGAAGAAGCCAACAAGACACTATGGTAAAACTGAAGGGAAATGTGGGCCCTAGAGAGGTTACCATGCATGGAAACCATTTTGCTCTGAGGGCGTTTGGCAATCTGGGAAAAATGCAACCTTTCTCTTAATGGCTTTGAGGGGATGAAGAAGATAGAAATCTAAATCCCAGGCCCACAGACAGCGTGGCTTCTGGCAGGAAAGCCTCGCTGAAGTTCTAACCATCAGGATGAAGGCCAACCAGAATTAGAAGCCAGATTTAAATCTCCTTGCTTATCTAGGAAATCTCAAAATTGGAATTTGATTTACAGTAATTACAAATTAGTAGTGTTTTCAGGCAACTGGCAGAAAAAACCACAAAAGTTCTATGGAAAAAAGTATGTTTATCTAAGTTTTAGATTCTAACATTCTAAGATTTTAAAACATCACATTATCCCTACAAATAATTTTTTTTCTTTTTTTTTTTTTTTGCAGTACGCGGGCCTCTCACTGTTGTGGCCTCTCCCGTTGCGGAGCACAGGCTCCAGACGCGCAGGCTCAGCGGCCATGGCTCACGGGCCCAGGCTCACGCTCCACGGCATGTGGGTTCCTCCCGGACCGGGGCACAAACCCATGTCCCCTGCATCGGCAGGCGGACTCTCCCTGCGCCACCAGCGAAGCCCCCTACAAATAATTTTTAATAAAACAATCTTTGGCACTAAGCCAAAGATACTCAGGTATACAAAGAAACCAGACTCTATTAAGAAGAAACAGCAGAAGCAGACAATAGGGAGTAGTCTTGCAAAGATTCCAAATTTCAAATATTGGAGTAATCAGAAAGACAATAAAATAACAATGCTCACTATGTTTTAAAAAAGACAAATGTGAAGGTAACTCTAGAAGAAGAGAAGTGACATAGTAGATTTGAAAAAAAATTACAGAGCATTTCTAGGGAAAAAAAGATAAAAACAGATTAAATAAAAAATTCAATGGATGGATTTAATGGCAGATCCATCACAGTTAAAGAGAGAATTCATTAAGTGCAAGATAAATCAAAAGAAATCACAGAGCAACATGGAGAAGCAAAAAGATGAAAAAGAAAACAAAAAGAAGATAGAAGGCAGGGGCTGGAGTAGAAAGGTCTAGCCATGTTTGATCTGACTTCCAAAAGCAGAGAGACAGAGGAGAAGGAACAAGGATGACATATGAAGACATAACAAACAAGAAGTTTCCAGATTTGATGAAAGGCCAAGCTACAGAGTCAAGATGCCCAACAGTCTCCAAATATGGTAAAATTTCAAATAAAATGTTGCCTAAGCACACTACAGTGAAATGGCAGAAAAATCAAGACAACAAGAAGATCTTAAATACAGCCCAGAGAAAAGGCAGAACTTTAGATCTGACAACTGACTTAACAACAGGAATGACAGAAGTCAGTGGAAAAACATCTTCAATAATAGATGCCAACCTAAAATTCTATACCCAGCAAAAATATCCTTTAAGGATGAAGGCAAAATAATGACATCTTTAGACAAACAGATCTAAGAGTTTGCTACCACTAGACCCACATTAAAGGAAATTCAAAAGGATGAACTTCAGAGAGAAGGAAAATGGTCCTAGATGGAAAGTTTGTGGAGTAAGAGGGAAAAACAAAGAAAGTGGTAAATATGTGGATAAATCTAAATGAACACTATCTACAGATATGTGTATAAAACAGATAAACATATATATGTAAATAGTTACTTATAAATAACCATGTGTTTTAATACTGTAAGACTATGGAATGTGAAAAAATAAAGAGTATAAATGTACTATTTATACTACTAGACTTTGTTAACAGTACAGGCTGTGGATTCAAAAGTGACCTTCAGGGGACTTCCCTGGTGGAGCAGTGGTTAAGACTCCACACTCCCAATGCAGGGGGTCCGGGTTCGATCCCTGGTCAGGGAACTAGATCTCACATGTGTGCCACGACTAAGGAGCTGGCGAGCGGCAACCAAGGAGCCTGTGAGCAGCAACCAAGAAACCTACCTGCCACAACTAAGACCCAATGTAACCAAATAAATAAATAAGTAAATATTAAAAAAACAAAACAAACATAAAGTGACCTTCAAAGGAATATAGACATAGAATATAACTTCTAACCTGGTAGAGAGGGAAAAAACCGAATGACAAAAAAGTCAATCAATTTTTTGAAAAAAGGCAAGAAAAGAAGAAACACAGAACGAGCTGGACAAATAGGAACTACTCAGTCATTTCACAACTTCAATGAATACAACTGGGCACAATTCCTCTCCTCACTGTTTCAAGTTTCTGAAACAACAACCTCTCTAGGAAATCTGAAAATCAGTGATATAGGAACCTTTGTGGTAGGTGTGCATGTGTGAAAATTATGCACATGTATACACATTATGGTAGGACAACTTAAGGAAACTAATTTTAAGAAGGAACAGAGAAATCAGACCCACAACCTGTTGCCTACACCACTCCATCCAGCTGATTATCATTGACAAAAACTTCAATAATTGTGGAACCTACGATTCCATTTCTATCCCACAGCTTTAGGCATATCTAAAATATGGTACAGTGTGGCATAGCTTAAAAATTTTAAGGTAATGTTTGTGGGCAAGCAAAGACTATAAAAGAAGAACTGCTAACAATAGTTAGAATGAAGTGAAATGGCACTTGCAGGATGAAGCCAACAAGGCAAATCCAAGGTGAAGAGAAAGGCGGCAAGGACAGCCTTCCCCATCACCTCCTGGAGAGAAAGCTTTGAATAACGTTCCAAACTTGTAAACGTGAACTAAAACATACTTCCTGTCATAAAACAACTTTAAGCCAGAGCTAAGTTAAGCAATATTTTCTCAAGTTTCATATGAAATGCCTGCTTTTATATGACACTCTTATTTTGAATATAGTTACATGTTGCGATTCTACACCGCACAACTTTCCAAGATGAGAGGCTATCACGGCTCAAAGAAGTCCTGCGCCTCAGGTGTGATCATCCAGCTAACGGGTGGTAAGAGTCACTGAGTTCTGCTCTTCTATCAGTTAACTCATCCAATAAAATGCTCCTCGAGTGACGTCTTAAAAACAGCTACGTATTTAAGATTTGGGAACGATAAGGACTGAGAGAAGACACTCTTCTTACCATAGTCTTGGAAGCTAGAGCCACCCTGAAAAAGTCACCACAGAGGGATAATAAAATTATTTCTTTAAAAGGTTTTGAGTCATTCTGCACAACTCTGAAATGACATTACTTGATCTTGTGTTTAGGTAAACTTGATGACAGCACGGTACCTGCTGAGAGGACTCCGTGGTTGATTCTCGGCATGCTTAAAGGGGCCAGTTCAATCCACAGCTGCCGATTAGGGTCATAAAGGGGGCACATACATCGCATCGCTGCTGTTGGCTTCCGTGAACTAAGGCGAGAGATAACTAATTAGTAGTTAATATGTTTTATGTACTTCTGCTTATAGTAACTATGACTAGTTTTACTACGCTAAAGAATGTTTCAAACATTTAAAAAAACCTATTGCTATTAGGCTTTAGATACTGAAGCGTGTTATAGATTTCTGTTTACGTGGAAATCTCTCTTCCCTCACACCACCACCCATCAAAGGGCTCACAGCCAGGCTTACACTCTTTCCTCTCCGCCAACGGTCACGATGCACTCCGAGTAGCCCCGGGGCTTGAAGCTGGCGAGCATGGCCTCCCCCTGCTGCGGCTGGCTCAGAGGGATGTTGCTGCACTCTTTGACAATCTCTCGGACTAACGGCTCATTCAGCATCTGCTCCCGTAAATAGCTCGAGTCCAACCCTGAAACCCACAGCGCTGACATGACATCCTTCATGTGGACCTGGAGGGCGGAAAGCACGGGGAGGAAAAGTGGAGCATGCGTGGTACATTTAGAATATGCGTTTTCCCACTCCTGGAAGACTAAAATGATTGACAGTCAGATCATCAACAGGCAAGTGGTAAGGGTCAGTACTGCTTGCATGTGTTTACGGCCCCTCTCCTTTCTACTTCCCTTGGCCTTGATAAATAAAAGTTTAACTCAAAGAAAACCATCACTTCAGATTTATATTTGATGTGTCACTGCGAAGTTTTAAGCAGCTTTCTTTAATGCCCTACAGGGTTCCCACAGCAACAGGAAAACTTAGAAGAACCCTGCTATGATTTGCCTTATTTCACATGCTTGGATGTGCCGTGAGTTACGTCACATTTATAGAAACGTCATATACAGGAACAGCTTGATACAATATGGTCAACTAGATAATGAACATGTATCAACATTAACATTACAAGGAAAATCTGAAAAAGCTAAATTTCAAAAAAAAAATCCTGAGTACTATATAATCATTTCTTCAGTAATTACTGTTAAAAATTATCTAACATGTATAATGTGAATGATATACTTTTTAAAAAAATATTCATGCATTTTACTTGTTTATTTTCCTTATTTATTTATTTATTTTTTGGCTGCGTCGGGTCTTATCTGCAGCACATGGGCTCTTTGTTGAGGCATGAGGGATCTTTTCATTACGGTATGCAGTCTGCTAGGGTTTCTCTCTAGTTGCGGCATGTGGGCTTCTCTCCAGTTGTGGCGTGAGGGTTTTCTCTCTGTAGTTTGTGGCACGCGGGCTCTCTCATTGAGGCACGCGAGCTCACTACTTGTGGTGTGCGGACTTAGTTGCCCCGCGGCATGTGGGATCATAGTTCTCCGACCAGGGATCGAACCCATGTCCCCTGCAGTGGAAGGCAGATTCTTTACCACTGGACCACCAGGGAAGTCCCTGAATGATATACGTTTCATACTCAATCATCAGATTTGAACCAACTGACTATAGCACCCTACGTACATAAGGTGACTAGTTTTTCTGGGCTTTGAAATTGTCATTTTAAGGTACACTCTTTTATACCCTGAGTAATAAAAGCCAACAGTCCTTACAGCACCAAGTTCAGATTAACCACAGGATGAGGAACTGCCTCTTGTTTCCCAGCAGCCGTTCCATCTTATATGCCCTCATCACTTTAAGGCAAGAAGAGGGTCAGAGAGAAGATACTTCAGTGGTGGCAGCAAGGTGGAAACTCTTCTATCCCCTTTCCCAATCTACCCCACCAATGGGGAAAACAGAACACTAATTGTACTAAGGAGCTGAAGCTACGAATGTGGTTTCTAAGTGGACATGCTCATGGGCCTGAAAATTTAAAAATTACAAGATAATCATTAAAATGTAAGCCAAGAGTTACTAAGAACAATTAACAATGCAATTATGCATTCTGAAAGCCACTCTGAAACCTAATATATTTCTTTATTTTGATTTTGATATAGTAACTGGAGCTAGGCTCTAGTATATAAATATTAGACTTAAAGCCTTGTGATTTAAAGGTGAAAGCTCCCTCCCCCAATGTATTAACAATGTGGATCTCAAGCCTGATATTCTCTAAGACCCTTCCTTCCTAGGCTGTCACTCCTAGAACCTTCCTATTTGGAACCTCATTGCCATGAAAGCTCCGGAATGCTCTCCCACTTTCTCCTCCAGTGGTGTCAGTCACTCCAGGGAGAGCCCAGTGCCAGAATTCAGCCCTCTGCCAGAATTCCATGTGCCCTTTTCTCACCCCACTTCCTGCATCAGAGTCCCTGTAGGGGTTAGCCCCCCATCACAGAGGGAAGGATGCTGAAAGCTAGGATGAGGAGTATAGGGTGCATTTCTATACTCTCCAGCTTAGCTTGAAATCCCTTTCCCCTTAATAGCAACATTCAAAGGATATCATGTGACTTGTAAGTATTACTATTTTCATTGCTATATGATGAGTTACATGGACTTTGGTAGACTCGTCTGAACAACCAACTGCTTTAGTGAGGCTATAGGAAGATGTTTTCCAGGTTATGGTTTAGATCACAACCTTGTCAGTTTTTCAAGTTGGAGGAGAAAAATAAAACATCTAGAATTTGGATTAAAAATAAACAAACAAATGAATAAGTAAGTGAAAAGGCAAAGTCAGAGCACGCTATAAAGTACGGGTACCTTTCTTATTTCTGTGTCATGTGCTATCCATCGGATGACTGCTTCAAATACATATCGCTCATTGCCAACGTTTAACTTCTCAAGAGAAATCACTTCTTTAAGCTTTTGAGGACTCAGTTCTAGGAATTCCTCTGTGCTGCTGACATCTCGGAAGTGAGTCTCCAGGTATTCTGTGGCCAGGTAATGGACGTGGTGCAGGCAGTAGTGGAGTGCAAAGTCTCGGATTCCGATGCAGTTCTCGGCGGCAATGCAGCCTTCTAAGAACTCACAGCAGAGAGTTTTAAGATCCGTCAGCAGGAGCAGGTCTGCTGCCTGCACAACATCTTGGATGGTATCTTCGCTCAGCCGGATCTGTAAGAATGATCATAGATAGTCTATGTTTGAATGTATATATTTAGAACGCAACCACTAATCTATCAGGCTGGACCATATGAAAGCTCCATTTGTAGAGGTCAAAGATGATTGAAAACGAGCAATTTCATACGGTTCAGCTTTGTTTTCAAGAATAGTCCGAGGGCACCAAGGCACCTGCGGACAACATAGGCAGCGCACAGCTGATTAACTTTTCCCAGCTCTTCCCTTCCTTTACCGAGATGAACCACCAATATCCCTGCCATGGTGAACTGTCCATGGGGCTCGCTTCTATACTTAGAGAAAAACCTCAAATGACTGAAATGCTTAGGAAATGGCAAGTTCCACATTCTATGGTAAACTGAAGGCGATTTCTTTAAATGCTAGCCCCTGAACTAATGAAAATCCTGCCTCCAAATACATTAAGTTCACTTCTTTGCCAAATGGTACGTGGAAGATACCACACGGACCCTTGAAGAGAGGGAGAGCCACACTGCCCGAGGGGCCTCATTCTGAACACCAAACATTGCACTTGGTGCAAAAGATACAATTTGGTCTCAAAGCTACTTTCTGGAATAAATCCCTAAGATTTTTTTTTTTTAAATCATTGTGAACATTTACTTCCCCTTAATTTTCTTCAATTTCTTGACTGATGCTTCTTCCTCCACCCACTTCACAGTTTTTCTATGCAACAGTAAGGCAACATCAAGAAACAGGCCCCTAAAATACTGTCACAATCACGAACGGTCCAGACTCTCCGAAAGAATGGGTATTTATCCTCCATTAGGAAGCGTTAAGGAGAGATTTCACAGTGAAGTGCAGCAAGAAACATTTTACCACAATTTGCACATTCTGTACCATAGATAAATAAGGTTTCAAATTTCCAATGCAAGCCTGAACATGAATACACTCCTCTAACTTGTTATAACTGCCACTGAACTGACTTTACAAGTTAGATAAGAGTTTGGACCTAAGCCTGGTTTTGTGATGCTAAAGAGCACTGCCAGTATTTTAAGGGCTGTCCCCAAACTGGTTTAAATTCATTTATTTTTAATAATCATACACATAACCTTATTTCCACACACCCACCACCCAGTGTTCAGAGAAAAGAGAAAGTGATAACATCATGAAGTGAAATAAAAAAACTTCAAAGAGGATGACGATCACCGAGTTTGACTCTGGACAGAATGAACATATTTAGAGAAAGTAAGCAGTACACTCAGAATACTTATGTAGGAGACAGAGCCTTTACAAAAGGAAAATTAAAAGAAGAATGAGGAAGAAGGAATAAAGGAGAGAGCAGGACATGAGCCCTCAAAAGGAGTAAAGATAAAACGTACTCTTGCGTAATGAGATGTGAGGCACATGAACTTCTTCCTAATTCACACCCAACATTATCCTTAAGAGTCCTCATGCTATACACTTTAAATCACATAAACAGGGGAGTAGTGGGGTGGAGGAGGGCAAAGAAAGGGAAAGGACCACTAGCCACTGATCGCTTTCTTCCTTGGCTTTCATGAAGTCCCCAGAAATATAAATGGGTACAGAGACTAAAGGGAAATCAGAAAGAAAGAATGTGGGGGAATAGGGATGTTGGTCCTCCTGAGGCAACAGGACGGAGGCATCATGAGTACGATGCACGTGCCTGTCACTGGTGTGAATCTCGAAGTCTTTATTTCTACAAAATAATCCCCACCGCCCAAGGAGGCTCCCAAGTCCATGCTGTGGAGACAGAACGAGTTTCCCGATAGTGTGGGTACAAAGCAAGACTGGAATTAAGATTTAAAAAACAAAAAGACAGCAGTGAAGGGAGCATCCCATGTTCCTCACGTCTCAGACTGGAAGGTGGAGCTCAGGACGGTAGAAACAAAACCTGGGATTTGGGTAAGATCTTGCTTAGTCTGCTTTTCCTTCAAGGGCAGAGCCCCGGAAGAACACCCTTGGGTGCCATGTCCAGGAGGAGACCCAAGTCAAGCACACAGTGACAGAAGATGGAGATGGCGGTGTTGCTCGGTCACAGAGTGGATGAAGGAGACCCTCACCCTGAGCTTGAGGAGCCTCTACTCAGTCCTCCTTCCTCTGTGTCTCATCATACCTGCCCACTGAAGATGTAATCCAGGATCTCTCTCATAACCATTACCGATATCCCTTCAAGTTCAATCTTATAGGTTGATCCATCATCTTTTGGAGGATTATAGTTTAACTTTGTCCTAAGAAAGGGAAAAAACATGTAAAATTTCTATGAAAGAACAGAAATAGCTAGAAACATTTATGCACTAAATACTCTATAAAGTACATGATACGTATCCATATATGAATCACACCTAAAACATATCGTTAACTTTAGAGCAACATATTTTTTATGACTTTTAACTACAAAGCATTTGTTCCAGGGTTCAGAGTGCTACCTCTTAAAAAAAACAAACAAAACAGACAACCAAAGCGCTAAGGTCCATGTGAGCAAGGAGCTCTACTTCACCTTGGGAACCCTAGGCCCTTTAGGCTTATTTTTTTTCCCCTGTATTTAATTATCCAATTATTTTCAGTAATGTAACAAGGACCCCACAAACCTACCACCCAAAACAAAACCTAGGACCTTGACGATAACCTGCTTCTAACCAAATGGTCCTCGCCACCAATTCATTCCTCTGCTTCCCCATCTGAAGTAACTATTATCCTAAATCCCACCTATATTCAATTTTCTCTTGCTTTTTTTATTTTTGTATCCATGAAATATATATAACCTATAACATATATAGATTTATTGATAATCAATGTATATATATAATTTTAAGTTTTTAATTTTATAAAAGTGTTTCATGCTGTCTGTAATCTTCTGGGGCTAACTTTTTCATTTAACATTATATTGCTGAGTCATTCATCTTGCTGCATATCACACGCGTTCTTTTGCTCTTTCTGCTGTATAGTATGCCACGTTCCTGTTGATGAGCCCCTGGGCTGGGGCTCCAGGTTTTTGGTATTGTGAACAGTACTGCTATGACTATCCTTGTATATGTCTCCTTTTGTGATACGCAAAAGAATTTCTCTTGGGTGTATCCCTGGGAGTAGAATTAAGCTACTTTCTTCTCCAAAGTATGAGCTAATACTCAATTATTCTCCAAAGTAGCTGGAGCAGTTTTTAGCCTCATCTGGTATATGTAAGGGGATGTGTGGACCCACAAAGTCTATGACATTTATCTCTGTCCCACTTCCTAATCCTCCAATGCACGATCCAGTGAGCAAAGTATGGTCTCCGGTGGTGGTTGTGACCTGCCTTCCCCTCATTACCCAGGTGCTAAACAGCTCTTCAAAGGTCTGTAGCCCCCTGTGTTTCCTCTTCTGTGAAACACATGTCCAGTCTCTCTCCTTTTTATTCATTCATTCATTCATTTATTTATTTATGGCTGCGTTGGGTCTTGCTGCACGTGGGATTTCTCTAGTTGCAGCGAGCAGGGGCTATTCTTCGCTGCAGTGTGCAGGCTTCTCATCGTGGTGGCTTCTCTTGTTGCAGAGCATGGGCTCTAGGTGCGCGGGCTTCAGTAGTTGTGGCACAAGGGCTCAGTAGTTGTGGCTCGCGGGCTCTAGAGTGCAGGCTCAGTAGTTGTGGCACACAGGCTTAGTAGCTCCGACGCATGTGGGATCTTCCCGGACCAGAGCTCGAACCCGTGTCCTCTGCACTGGCAGGCAGATTCTTAACCACTGCGCCACCAGGGAAGTCCCTCAAGCCTCATTTTTAATTGAGCTAATCACCCTCCTCATATTGAGGTGTAGGCATTTTTTGTTATCTTCTTGATATCAAACCTTTGGCAGACTTGACACTTTTTTTTAAGGTGATGAACAATGTGAAGAATAATTTTTCACAGTCAACACTTTTTGTGCCTTGTTTAAGAACAGGTACTTTACCCAAGATCTAAAAGATATTCCTAATTTAGCAGCAAGGGAAGCTCAGACACAACCTAAGTTGCAATTAATTACCCCCCCCAAGGCTCGGAATTGGTAGGATGAGGAAGCTGTGGAAGGAGGGGTGAAGGATGAGCTAATTACAGAAGAAGAGACTGACAAAGTCTTAGGAAATAGGTGAGTTCCCAGATCCTTGCTCCACATAGATACACGACTCCTCTGCCCTGTTTAGTAAGGCTCCCCAGCTCCAGTGGAAGATAAGTGACGTGCTCTGGAGAGTGTGAGATGGAGGGGGCGTCTCTAGACAGGGGGGTAGCAGGCACATCTGAGGGTAGGTGCACTGCACCAAAAACTGAGAGAGTCAAGAGAGTGTCTACATATTGAATGCTGAGATCAGCAGTCTTTTTTCTCAATTTTGCTCCTAAAATTACTGAAAGCCAGACCTACATCCTCCAGGTGAGAACCTGATGACTCTTCTGGAGGATTTGATGAGCCCCAAAGCAAAGGTCTAAAGACATGGGCACAGATCTGCCTCAAGAAAATGACCCAGATGGACCATGCAACAATGAAACCCACTGTCACTAAGCCAACCTATGGGCTCTGAGCTTCCCACACACTGTGGCGAGCACTTCTGAAACTTCTTCACTTCACACCACACACAGAAAATGTAATATGACCCTGGGGTAAACAGATGAGGCTGTGTGCAGGGCCAGGGGGATTCAGCCTCCCCAGATGCTGCCCTGCCACTTGGAGGGCTGACACCATCATTATCTTCACACATTATGACATATTTTTGGGGGGGGGCACGTGGGTTAAGAAACTCTGCTTTAGAGCCCCACTCTTAAAACTGAGTAACTCAGTAGATGCCTAACAAAGAAGAAAGACAGAAACCAAAACCAGCAGAAAAAAAGTCAACTTGGAGGAAGTACAGATCTCACGCAAGATGAAAAGTCAAGGAAAAAAGAAAACCTCTCATTAACATTCCCAGAGAGAAAAGAGAGGATGTTGTGCTCGTGAAACAAGAATAGGATGCTCTAAAAGGGAACATTCAGAGAACAACAACAACAACATTTTAAAGACTACAAAAAAAAATTTTTTTTAATGTAATGTCAAAATTAAAATTTGTAGAAGTCATAGACTTGTAGACTTCAAATCGTAGAACTTGTAGACCTCAAGTCTGCCAAGAAAGCAAAAAAGACAAAGGTAGAAAATAGGAGACACAAGGTAAGAAAACTGGAAGATCAGTCCAGAAGGTTGAACATCTGAAAAACAGGAATGCCCATGCCAAAAAAAAAAAAAACAAAAAAACCCCAGAATATTATCAAGTAAATGCTCATAACAGGGGATAAAAATACGTCTTTCCGAGGCATGTCATCATGATACTTCAGAATACTGGAAACAGAAAAATTCGTATAAGCTTCCAGAAAGAAAAACAGGTAACACAGAAAGGAATGGGTATCAGAACGGCTTCGTACTTCCAGATGGAACTTTAATAGCAGTGTGGAAATGACTTCAAAATTCTGAAGGAAAATTATTTTCAACCTAGATTTTTATAGCCAGCCAAACTACTCATCAAATATCAGGACAGAATAGACATTTTCAGCTATACAAACTCTCAAAATAATTGATCTTCCATGCAGCCCTTCTCAAAATGCTGTTGGAAAAAACTGCCCCAACAAAGAGGAAGATTCTGGACTAAAAAAAGACATGATCCAACACAGAAAAGCAGGGAAAGGAATGGTGAAGAATGACCCTAGGGTAACAGCTCTGCACCAGCAGAAGGAAAGCTGGTTCATTCTGGTACAGCAGGATGCCTCAGCAGGCCTTAGGAGGGCAAAACTGATTCAATATATAACATATGTTTTAGTCAACTTTGTTTCCCCCCTATATTCTGTATCTGCTATTCCTACCTCTACAGTTTCTATAGAACTAATAATTTTACTCAAAAGGCATTTCTTTTCTGCTTGCTGCACCCTAGGTGTACCTATATGACTGACGCTTTTACTAAAAGTGAACAAAAAAACTTCAGTCAATTCTCAGTCAAGAGAGAAAAATAACGTAAGTAGTAAGAATAACACCTAAATCATTAATATTTGGCTCTGAAATCTATCATATGCAGACACGTCCTCCAGGAATGTTTCACTCAGGATGTCATGACTATTTGTATTTCTTAGTCACCGTGCTGGTTATCAACATATTGCCTCTCAGCTCCAAGTCCACCCTCTTTGCATGCTCTGTGAAAATGGCTCTGAGCCTTTCCAACAGTTTTTCTGCGTTAACTGGTACGATGTTAAGCTTCTCAGTGGAGGGTGCTGGAAAGACACTGCAGGAGGAGAGAGTTTTGCTGCCGGGCTCTGGTTCTGCAGCTGGATAGGCTCCCGCAGTGCACAGCTGCCAGCAGCACCCTGCAGCTTTCCCTGGAACTCCCAGAGGCAGTTTTGCAGTCAACTGTTTCTGGGGAGACACCTCCCTGTGAACAGCTTTCCCAGACACCTTAAAGGACAGATTTCTGGCAAGTTCCAGAGGGCTGATTTCAAGCAAATTCCACCAGTGTGGCTTCTCTGCCATGAGGTGAGCTGTGGCTGTGTGCCGTCCAATAAAGTCTGGATCTCAGCCCTGGGTACACCAGCTACTCCTTTAATTTTTAGAGTTTACTTCTTAGTAGCCAATCCCTTATTATTCTATCTCTTGCTGCAGTTAAAAATTCTTTATATTAAACTCTCCTTGTTCAAATTACTATGTGGTTTCTTTCTCTTGACTAGATACAGACAGAGTCTTGCCCCTATTTAAAGGCAGTAGCTCTAAAACGTGTTCAGATAGAGGGGCACCACCTAGAATTCAAGTTGTTCAAACAAGAGCTGGCTGTGCCTGCCCATGGGCTGTGGACAGTGCAGGAGGAGGGGGACCAGGCTGACGGGGAAAGGGGTTACAAAGAGACCATGCAGTGTGTCCCCTTTTTATTTTTCAGCCATGCGACTGGATTTTTTTTTAAAAAGATGACTATACAGTCATCTCTTGGTATCCTCGAGGGACTGATTCCAGGACCCACACGGATACCAAAGTCTGCAGATGCGCAAGTCCAGTAGTCCGCCCCCCGTATCCTCACCCACAGACTCAACCAACCATAGATCGTGTACAGCTGACCCTTGAAAAACATGGATTTGAACTGTATGGGTCCACTTATACGTGGATTTTTTTCCCAATTAATCTGTGTATAAGTAAACCCGTGCAATATTGAAAAACACCCGTGCATAAGTGGATCTGTGCAGTTCAAACCCACGTTGTTCATGGATCAACTGTACTATCTCAT